ATATCACATATACTTCAGGTCAAGGGTCAACAGGTCATGTCATCAAAGGTCACATAAAGTTCACGACGCGCGCGTACGCGTGCGTCAAAATATTAAAATGCTCAAAATCACTTAACTATCAAAGGAGAGTACGAATCAGGTCATTTTAAGCATTTCAACATTTTCCGTCCGTAAGTGTCCCCGCGCGCGTTGCGCGCGCTCACAACGCGCGGAAAAGGTCAAATTCATTTGTTTTACATGATTTATATTCCTCTTACCGTAAATGACAATTTACATTAATTTCAGTCACTCTTGACCTTTCATAAGGCCGTGAGCGCGCGTCAAAGTTCAAAATCCGCGCGTGCTGCTATGGGCACTATAATGCAAATTTGATCAAAAACATCCCATTTTAAAAATCAAAATAGCTCTTCAGATAGTCAATTGACCCCAACTTTTATATCATGGTTAGAAAAAACATGAGTTGGAGATATGATTTCATGTGTCATTTGACCCTCAATTAACTCATGACGTCATCATAATGGCCTCCGAACTCAAAATTTCAATTTGCATATTATGACGTCAGCAGATTTTTGGAAAATTGATTGTTTCTCTGTAAATATTGATCAATTTTCTTTCAAATTTTGATATGTTCTACCTGAGAATATTCTCTACAAATGCATTTTTCACGATATTTCATTTTGACAATGGTATCATGGCGTATTTTTGCGATTAAAGGAGGCATGTCAATTTTTCACATTTTGCGTGTATTCTCTATGGGACATGACTTTTTCTCAAAACTGGATTCTACATTCTCGTCTTTCGCGAGCCATATCTCCGTCGTTTTATCTTTGTTTACGCTGAGCTTTGAGTGTGTTGTAGCTGAGACAATAAGCTATCACAAGTGTGCCCTTTATTTCTCGATCAGATGCCGGGATCATGCTCATATCTCACATACAAAGTGGGATTTGATAATTCCATTTTCCGTTTACGTGTAATCTCTATGGGAAATGTTTTGGTATATCGGTAACGCACTTGACTTCCGACCTCGAGGTCCCTGGTTCGAGTCCGGGCGTCTCCAACAATTTTTTTTCTTCACTTTTTTTTCTTTTTGACCTTTCACTCTACCATCTCCTTTGAATATTAAAACACGTACAATTGCAAATAATGTAATAAACAACCATATTTACTTTATTATTACCCTATTATCACTAGATCCATTACTTTTGGCGTGTAATCCTTATGGGAGATGACTTTTTCTCAAATCTGGATTCTACATTCTTGTCTTTTGCGAGCAATATCGCTGTTATTTCTGCTTGGTTTTTGTTGATTTTTGAGTATGTTGTAGCTGAGACTATACGCTATCTAAATGTTCTCTAATTTTGTTCAGTCTGATGTCATCGTGGTCTGTTGATGATAATCATCAACATCATCATGATCATCATGATCATCATCATCGTCATCCCCATTACTATCAAGATCATCATCATCATGATCATCATGATGATCATCATTGTTTACATGTCTATATAACTTCTCCCTTTCTCAATATAGTAAATATTATAATCTCTCATAAGACTTGAAGACAGACCACCTAATTCGTCCCCATGACGAATTAAATTTCTAGTATTTTAATTGAATTTGTACAAAAACACAATTCAATTAAAATAAATTTGTGACCACTTTTTTGTGTGCACGATTACTCAAAATTGAACCGTCCAATTTCTTTCAAATTTAACACAGTCATAGGTCATCATCTTAAGACGTGACAGGAACATTTTCAAGTTCATCAACATATCGTGACGTCATCCAGGCGCAATTTTGTGAAGTGCTCTGAGAATCAACTCATGATCATATCTTCATAACCGTAAATCATTTCTCATTCATATTTATAACGATTATGGTCAATATCCGTCCGGTCAACTTAAGGTCAATTAACACGCACGTACGCGTCCGTTCGCGCGTCGGTGCGCGCGAAAATAAAAATGCTCATAATCACTTTTTGATCAAATTAGAGTACGTTTTAGGCCATTTCAAGCATTTCGAGAATTTTGCGTGCGCACACCTTTCCGCGCGCATAAATTTGCGCGCACGTTTTTGTTCGTAATGGTCGAACGCAACCTAAAAACGCAATTTGTTGTCTTACATAGTATTGCCCATTTTTTTCCGAACAATTTGATACCATGTTTATCTCTTTATGACCATTAATAACGAAATGAGCGTCCGTTCAAGGTAAATGTCTGTGCGTGCGAGCTCTTTTAATACATAGCATATGGGCAAAAACATGCCTATACGAAATACATTATTAACTGTATAGAAAAAATATTATTGCTCGATCTGAAAAGACAACGGCAAAATGCGTGTGAAACTAGTGAGCAATAATCGAGCCAGTTGTACATTTCATCGCGCACCAGCTGCTGGTGACCATGACAATGTATATTACGCATATAACAAAATGCGCACTATGACCGAACTCCATTGTGACGTAACAATCACACCCTAGGCATACTGTTTGCAGTGTATCTCTGTAAATGTTGATCAATTTTCTTCCAAATTTTGATATGTTTTAGCTGAGACAATTTTCAACAAATGCCGTCGCCACGATTTTTCATTTTGACAAAAGCATCATGGCGTATTTTTGCGATTAAAGGAGGCATGTCAATTGTTCACATTTTGCGTGTATTCTCTATGGGACATGACTTTTTCTCAAATCTGGATTCTACATTCCTGTCTTTTGCGAGCAATATCGCCGTTTTTTGCGCTTGGTTTTTGTTGATTTTTGAGTATATTGTAACTGAGACTATGTGCTATCTAAATATTTCCTCACTTTTTTCAATCATATGTCAGGATCACGCTTATGATCATGATCATCATCATTATCATAATGATGATAATCATCCCCATCAAAATCTTCATGATCATGATTATCATCATCATTATCATTATTATCATCGTCATCATCATCACCATTATCATCATCATTATCATAATGATGATAATCATCCTCATCAACATCATCATGATCATGATTATCATCATCATGATTATCATTATCGTCATCATGACAATAATGATAATCATGATTAAATAGTTTATTTTCAATACTTTGTGTCATATTCATTAGGCCTACTTATTTTAATATTTGGTTGCATTAAATTTGATCATGATCATTATGAATCATGATAATTTCTCAATATTTCGTTCATCAGTTCAGCTCATCAGTTTAGTTCAGTTCATCAGTTCATCCGTTTAGCTTATCAATTCAGTTCATTTCACGACAGTTCAATCTATCACTTCGTCAGTTCATTAGTACTTCATTCATCAATTCATATCTCAATACATCATTTTACATTAACATCATTTTATTGGGTAATTGAATTGAAGATGAGCATGATCATGAGAATTGAAGACAGACCACCTAATTCGTCCCCATGACGAATTAAATTTCTAGTTATTATTATTGCTATTATTATTATTAGCTTATTTAACCTCTCGAGGCGAGGGACTTATTCCTCTGTGTGTTGTACATATATTCATTCCTGTGTATGCGGCCTCACCCTTACATTATTGGCCCCGGACACGTTAACCTCATCATTCACTCTGTTATATTATGTACGTATACCTGGCGAATCAAATCAAATCAAATCAACCCCAACGGTACTTTGCAACATTGCTCATATTTAAACAACAATTATCTGCGATGCGCGGAGGAAGTCCATCGACCCATGTGCTGTATTTGGGCGTCCGAGCAGCCCGCCATAGCAGCGGTTGTAGCCGCACCTATACAAAAAGAATGGGAGGAAAACTTCGCCGCCAACATATCTCTGTATGACATGCATCTCTTTATCATGGCACTGAACTCATGCCTGGTGAGAGGAAGCGAACCATATGAGCAAAAGAAAGCCTCCCCACTTCCCGGGCGCATTTTCAAATATCTAAGGACCGCCTTTACGGGACAACTACCCGCCTCAATTTCGTGTATTGAAATGGTGCAACCGTTTCCCCTCGGATCAGTTTTCGATTCCCTTAAAGAGAGACTCACCCGGCGATGTGGTGCACTGCCGGTGACTGCCACGTCCGTGAAACGCAGCATTCGATCCCGCCTATGCCGTGATGCCACTGTGTGATGTGCGACCAGGCCAAAATAATGATATGGACTCTCCTTTCTAATCAGGCCCAACGACAAAGGCCAGCCCAAAACCCGAGTATAATCCCGCTGGTCGCTCACGAGAAGAAATAATTCAGCGTTATATAGATCCCGCCTCCAACTAATTATTCCAGTGCAGTGCTAACTTTAGTATTAATCCAAATCCTCTAATAATGTTTTAGACTCCGTAAATTTTTCTTCTTGTCCATTCAAAATGAAAGCCATAACTAGAATGAAAGCCCCTTCGTGCTATTTTTAATTTGCTGGCGGTATTTTCCGCGCTTGCTTGATAAGCGTACATACGCTTGTACATTTCCTTCCAATGTAATACAAAGTATTACATTTCCTAGCGCGTGAATTTCCCTCAAAAATGTAAACAACCTCTTGACCTACATTTTGTCAGCCTGTCAATAAACCATTTTAAATCGTTGTCTACTCTTTAAATTTTAATAATGACTATGTACATGTATATCGTGTATATTATTTAGTAATGTTTAATATTGAAATGTGGATTCCTTTAATTCAATTTATTTTTTAAATGACAATCGAATGAATAGTTGACCAATTTAAGTCACTATCGTCTGGGCTAATCGCTGGGGGGGGGGGGGGGGGAAGGGGGTGCCATCTGACGAAACAAAATCTGTTGTACTCTTCATAAAATCGGAATAAAAAGATAGCAACAAAACATGTGCTTCTTTTGTTGTTTGATATGGCAGCGTTATACCACCCCCCCCCCCCCCCCCCCCCTCATGGTCAAAAGAATCCTGGAGCTGCCAGGGGGCGCTTCGGTATTTATCACAAATAATTTCGCATTTCCAATCTTTAAAAGAACGGTGGATTTAAAAAAGGTTTTTTTTTCTTCTTCTAACAGGATTTTGGTCGGCAGGTGATGGGGAAGTGGTGGTGGACCATCAGTATCGTGGTAGCCTTGTCCATCGCCGGCGCACTCAACGGTGCGTCACTAGCGAGGGCTCGGTAAGATCACGTTAGGTTTCACTAGCGAGGGCTCGGTAAGATCCCGTTGGGTTTGACTAGCGAGGGCTCGGTAAGATCCCGTTGGGTTTGACTAGCGAGGGCTCGGTAAGATCCCGTTGGGTTTGACTAGCGAGGGCTCGGTAAGATCACGTTGGGTTTCACTAGCGAGGGCTCGGTAAGATCACGTTGGGTTTCACTAGCGAGGGCTCGTTAAGATCCCGTCGCGTTGCGGGGGTGCTCGCCTAATACGGTTAAAGATAAACTTTAGTTCTGGTTAAAAAAAGAAAAAGAATTCTTACAGAATCTAACGAAACTTACACTGAATGTTCAAGATTACTAATAAATGTCCTGTGCCAAACAATTTTGGAAGAAAATGTATACTGGCTGAGTAATGAGCAAAGAAAGTTAAGAAAATCACGTAGTACAAGACCCGACACCATTTGAGTTGTCCCATATACATCTTTCTGTGTAGTGTGCTTGTTACTTTACCAAGACTGAGCCAAATTTGTTATGAATTTGATGACTCCAGAACCTTGCAGTACACACCAATACTTACATGCTACATGATCAACTGTTTCTGATGCATTCCACACCTTTTCTTTCACAATCTAATTGCATGACCAGAAATCAGGTTTGTCTTTAAGGGGACGTGCGATCAGTGCTCTAATGCGTTACTTTTTTTGCCAACAAATCCTCTAATGCGTTACTTTTTGCCAACAAATCCCTAAACATAGGGTATGATTTTGTGCTGCAAAATTCGTGAAACCGCCTTTATTTTTCTACTTGGCCTCAAACATGGGTTACTATTTTCTTCAGGATAATATCTCATCCACCATCTCGCTAAAGTGAAAATTCTAAATGCAAAATCCCGCAAAAATGATTAAAATCATTTCGATTTTTCATCCAAAGTCCTCGCCAATGGTCGAACAGATTTGGAAAAATAGGAAACTGGGAAATTGGGAAAGTTGTTACTAAATTAAGTGATAAAGGTATGTGAAAGTGTAAATTATTAATGCAAATGGAATACGGCAAAACCTTAAACATGTGTTGCGTTTTGAATGGAAGTCCCTATAATAAGGCCTAAAAAAAAATATGTTGTATTGCCCTTTAGGTGCCAAAACATGGGTCGGTCTGTCAGAAATATTTTTTTATAAACCTTTTTTTTACTCCCTCTTTGGGCTGATATTTCTCAGTTTAATGCTTTAATGCATTTTTTCTAAAAAACGTTTAAAAGCCGACCATAGATAGGCAGTCCGACGTTAGTTAATGCATAGACCTAATACTGACCCCTTGCGTGTAATGGAAAAATCGGCTTTGAACGCGATATAAGCGTATAGTTTTTTTTGTTATACATTAGAAGACGCTGTTGCATTTGAAGATTAAAGTAGATATTCATTGATTTTAAAAACTAACTTTATTTTCATTATTGCAAAATTGAAACTTTGATTCGACGAGTTCATCAAAATTCAATGCTTGGAAACATTCGAAGTAATGATTATTGTAAATTACAAAACGCTTAAATACAGCCCCGGCATAGCACATGAAGAGCTCTCCGGAAGCTGCTGAGATAATAATAATAATAATAACTAGACTTTAATTCGTCACTTAGACGAATTAGGTGATACGTATGATAATGGTTTACATAACGAATAATGAATTACACGATATATTATTTTATAAAATGCTTCTCCCATTTATATGCTTCTCCCATTATGATCTATCCATATGTCAAGATTAAATTGTGTCTCCTTGATCATCATGGATCTAGGGAAGATAGATTGAAACAATATATGACCTTTGACCCTGTGCAGTAACCAGTTACACATTTGACTCTAATTTACATCATGAAGAACACCTTTTGACGATTTTATCTTATTCAAAGAAATGAAAATGTAATTGATAAATGATTATCATCATTATGATAATGATGATCATGATGATAATGATCATGATCATGGTCATGAGCGCGATCCCGACATCTTATTGAAAACATAAGGGTTGATTTAGATAGCATATAGTCTCAGCTACAACATACTTAAAAATCAACAAAATCCAAGCAGAAATAACGGCGATATTGCTCGCAAAAGACAGGAATGTAGAATCCAGATTTGAGAAAAAGTCATCTCCCATAGGGATTACACGTGAAAAGTAATGGATTAAGTGAAAATAGGGTAATAATAAAGTAAAAAGGGTTGTTTATGACATTATTTGCGATGCTACGTGTTTAAAAAATCATAGGAGATGGTACAGTGAAAGGTCAAAAGGAAAAAAAGGTGGAGAAAAAATTGTTGGAGACACCCGGACTCGAACCAGGGATCTCGAGATAGGAAGTCAAGTGCGTTACGGATATACCAAAACATCTCCTATAGCGATTACACGTAAACGGGAAAAGGAATTCTGAAGTCCTACTTTGCAAGTGAGATATGAGCATGATCCCGGCATATGATCGAAAAAGGTGCACACTGGAGATAGCTTATTGTCTCAGCTACAACATATCCAAAGCTCAACAAAAACAAAGCTAAAACAACGGAGGTATTGCTCGCGAAAGACGGAAATGTAGAATCCAGTTTTGAGAAATAGTCATGTCCCATAGACAATACACGCAAAATGTGAAAAATTGACATGCCTCCTTTAATCGCAAAAATACGCCATGATGCCTTTGTCAAAATGAACACTACATTTGTAGAAAATTGTCTCAGCTAAAACATTTCAAAATTTGAAAGAAAATCAATCAATATTTACAGAGATACAATCAATTTTCCAAAAATATGCTGACGTCATAATATGCAAATTGAAATTTTGAGTTTGGAGGCCATTATGATGACATCATGAGTTAATTGAGGGTTAAATGAGACATGACATCATATCTCCATTTCATAGTCTATCCACATATGAACAAATATTGGAAGTTCCTATCTGTTCTGAAGAGTTACAATGAATTTTGTATAGGCATGTTTTTGCCCATGTATTGTGGATAAAGATAACGCAGATCTGCGCGTGCTGTCAACTTTGACGGACGCTCATTGCGTTACTAAAAGATGAACAAGTTATCAAAATGCTTGGAAAAATGTGCCAAATATGATGATAGAAAAAATTCGGCGATTCTATGTTGCAAAATGCTAGAACGCGCAAAAAACGCGCGCGCATGCGCGTGAGCGTGATTTTTTTTTAAATGCTCCATATGGCCTGAAACGTATGCAAAAAAAAATTGGGATGATTTAGAGCATTTTAAATTTTTGCGCGCGCGTAAACGCGCGGACGAACGCGCACACACGCATTTGCACACGTTTATTGACCTGAAATTGACCGGACGGATATTGATCTAAATCATGATAAATATGAATGAATAATTCCTTTTCGTTATGAAGATATGATCATAAGTTGATTTTTACAAAATGGCGCCTAGATGACGTCACGATGGTGCTGAGTCCATGAAAAGTCACGCAGTTCTAAGTTAGACTAAGATCTATCATCATGGCAAGTTTCATGATTATGGCTTTTGCCATTCTTGAGATATCCTGCGAACAAAATTGAGGAAGAATAATAATAATTTCTTCTATACAGACACAAAATAAATACTAGACTTTAATTCGTCACTTAGACGAATTAGGTGATACGTATGATAATGGTTTACATAACGAATAATGCATTACACGATATATTATTTTGCTTCTCCCATTCATATGCTTCTCCCATTATGATCTATTCATATGTCAAGATTAAATTGTGTCTCCTTGATCATCATGGATCTAGGGAAGATAGATTGAAACAATATATGACCTTTGACCCTGTGCAGTAACCAGTTACACATTTGACTCTAATTTACATCATGAAGAACACCTTTTGACGATTTTATCTTATTCAAAGAAATGAAAATGTAATTGATAAATGATTAGCATCATTATGATAATGATGATCGTGATGATCATGATCATGATCATGAGCGCGATCATGACATCTTATTGAAAAAATGAGGGTTGATTTAGATAGCATATAATCTCAGCTACAACATACTCAAAAATCAACAAAATCCAAGCCGAAATAACGGCGATATTGCTCGCAAAAGACAGGAATGTAGACTCCAGATTTGAGAAAAAGTCATTTCCCATAGGGATTACACGCAAAAAGTAATGGATTAAGTGAAAATAGGGTAATAATAAAGTAAAAAGGGTTATTTATGACATTATTTGCGAATCTACGTGTTTAAATAATCAAAGGAGATGGTACAGTGAAGGTCAAAAGGAAAAAAAGTGAAAAAAAAAGTGTTGGAGACACCCGGACTCGAACCAGGGATCTCGAGGTTGGAAGTCAAGTGCGTTACCGATATACCAAAACATCTCCCATAGCGATTACACGTAAACAGGAAATGGAATTCAGAAATCCTACTTTGCAAGTGAAATATGAGCATGATCCCGGCATCTGATCGAGAAATAAAAGGCACACTTGTGATAGCTCATTGTCTCAGCTACAACATATCCGAAGCTCAGCGAAAACGAAGCTAAAACAACGGAGATTTTGCTCGCGAAAGACAGGAGTGTAGAATCCAGTTTTGAGAAAAAGTCATGTCCCATAGAGAATACACGCAAAATGCGAAAAATTGACATGCCTCCTTTAATCGCAAAAATACACCATGATACTTTTGTCAAAAATAAAAATTGTGAACATTACATTTGTAGAAAATTGTCTCAGCTAGAACATATCAAAATTAAAAAGAAAATTGATTGAAATTTACAGAGATACAATCAATTTTCCAAAAATATGCTGACGTCATAATATGCAAATTAAAATTTTGAGTTTGGAGGCCATTATGATGACGTCATGAGTTAATTGAGGATCGAATGAGACATGAAATCATATTTCCGACTCATAATCTATCCAAATATGACAAAATATTAGGAGTTTCTATCTATTCTAAAGAGTTACAATGAATTTTATATAGGCATGTTTTTGCCCATGTATTGTGGATAAAGATAACGCAAATCCGCGCGTGCTGTCAACTTTGACGGACGCTCATTGCGTTAAAAAAAGGTGAACAAATTATCAAAATGCTTGGAAAAATGTACCGAATATGATGACAGAAAAAAATCGGCGATTCTATGTTGCAAAATGCCAGTACGCGCGAAAACGCGCGCGCATGCGCGTGTGCGTAATTTTTTTATCAAATACTCCATATGGCCTGAAACGTATGCAAAAAAAATTTGGGATGATTTAGAGCATTTTTAATTTTTGCGCGCGCGTAAACGCGCGGACGAGCGCGCACGCGCGCATTTACGCACGTTTATTGACCTCAACTTGACCGGACGGATATTGATCTTAATCATGATAAATATGAATGAAAAATTATTATTCGTTATAAAGATATGATCATTAGTTGATTTTCACAAAATGGCGCCTGGATGACGTCACGATGACTTTGAGTCTTTGAAAAGTCACGCAGTTCTAAGTTAGACTAAGATCTATCATCATTGAAAGATTCATAACAATGGCTTCGTTCAGTCTTGAGATATCCTGCGAACAAATTCGAGGAAGAATAATAATAAATAAATAAATAAATAATAAAAATCTTGACGAAATCAAAAGGTGATACGTCTACGTACGTATCACCTAATAATAATAATCCGGTTTTTTATAGAGCGCTCAATACACCGATCCAACGATGTGCCTAAGCGCTTTACAGATCACAGTATGGACATGATTTGCACAAGCAGACGATGTCCCATGACATCTCACACATTTTCAGTGCCTGTGTTTTCATCTTCTCTTGAGTTCTTTCTCTTACTTCACTACCGTCAGGCTAAATGTATAATATATTGCCTCACTCTAAACCCCGCGCATGGTTTTATTTTGATGACAAATACAGCGATACAAAATTAAAGGAATCTGTTGCTTGTAAACAAAATAAGACGCCATTGTATATTCAGCTGCACACACCGCGGTATGTTCGGCGTTTCAAGAGGGAACAAATGCCGTCCTTACTATCATTCCGGGGTTTTTTCAATTTGAAAGTCTGGTTTCTTTGATTGTTAATTAACCCCTATCCTGTGTACTTACAAGCAAAAGATTTTAGTTATCAGAATCGGGTCATATCCCCTTTTGAATGGTTTGACATGCCATTACATTTATATGCACTAAACTCATTATAATTTGACAAATAATAGCTTTGCAATTATGTTCATTCTTTATGGGATGTCGACTGCTTGGGCAGTATTGGTTCATATAATGACGTCATTAAAACATCGTTATTTTTCCGGCGAATCTCTCGTATATCCCAGCTTCTATGGAGGTGGTTGTATTTGTATTTTTATATATCACCCGATATGTAGTTGACCTAAAACTTGTACGATGGCCATATGTTAGCTTACTAGTTTCTAGTGATACATTCGTTGACATATTTGTGATTTTCTTTGAATGTCACCTTTAAGAATTTGACGAGATCATATTTTGGATAAAAAGCTATCAACACTATATTTTTGGTATGAATAACTTAATTCAGTTAGTGCTTTTTAAATCATGAATCACGAAATTTTAATTCCTATGACTGAAATTCAAAAGGAAAGCATTGGAATATGGAGTAATTAAGTAGTGGAATTATGGAACCATTGTATGAAAATATTTTTAAATGATAATTTGGTGAAATTTCGATAAAGTGATCGTCGTTACTTTCCAGACTCTTTTCTGAAAAAATGACTGGGATTAGGGGGGGGGGGGGGGAGGAGTGTAATTTCTGCTCCGAATATATGGACCACTCTCACTGATTTTCAAATCAACGACATGTAAACTTATGAATATATATATATATATAATACATTTTTGGATGAAATATATAATGTATGATGGCATATAGTACATTTGTGATTGAAATTATGAAAGCATATATAATAACATTGTGAATGAAATATATATATAATATCATATATAATAATATTGTGAATGAAATATATAATATATGATAGCATATATTACATTTGTGAATGAAACATATAATTTATAATCTATTAATAGGCTCTTCTACGTTGCATCCAGAGAGGGTCATATACCCGTGATAGCGTCTATGATTCACGTTGAAAGGAAGACACCCCTCCCAGCAGCATGTCTCACAGTGAGTACGGTATTATGTTCGGGGCCGGGGGTATAATTTATGTCTGTTGTAGAAGGAAGCCCCCTCCCCAGCCCCGATGTAATATACATGTATATAGGGGCCCTCTGACTTTTTCAAAAACATTATCATATCTGTATGATATAAGGTGTGAATGGAAGGAGGGTGAGAAAGAAAATAACATAGACATTGACCATCCATCTTCACCTGTTAGACAGGACATATAATAAAGGATTATGCAAGGTACCCGTTAAAGGTACTATGTCCCATTTGCAGGCCAAAAATGAAAAGGTTAAATTCCAACGGCATTTGAAAGATAATTACTAATTTAGAACTTACCTAAAGAAAGGGGGGGGGGCTTGAAAATGTCTTTAAGTGGGAAAATAACGACTATTAGTTGTCGAATCGACCTACATGTAAGTGCTACCAAGTCAGTAAGTAATAGTCTGATTATGAATGGTCGTACGTTTTGTGCTGCGCAAAGATTCAATCAGTTTAATTTTGACCATTACAAGAAGTGGGTTATTGATGTAGACAAATGCTCATGTACCCTTTACGGCTCATTTTACGTATGTTGTTACCAAAGAAGAAAAAGCCAGTCAATCACTCAATAGTGTCTGACAGTGAAGTCTAGCAAGTAAACGAGTTTCCTTGCATAATTTGAATATTAGGACACTGCTAACGTTTAAATTTCACCGATAAGACGTAGATGACATATTCATAATTCCTGCAAAGTTCTACATAATTTTATGTTGGTTGCAAAAGGGACATAGTATCTTTAAATTAACACATACATGGCCCATTTCAGCAAGGTAGGTACATAGCCCTGATACCTAGCTAGCTCCTCTATTATATCTTGCCAAACAGGTGAAGATGCCCAATGTATGCGTTTACAAAATCCTGACAATTTATTTGGCTATTTCTGAGACAGCAATACATTTTTTCGCATTTGAAAACTTATTAATGATAATCAGTTGACATAAATAAGACCATCTCAAGATAAATTTAAATATTCAAGATTCCACTTAATATGTGAATTTGAAATGAATTACATTCAACACTTTTGGGTTTTAATGTAATGATATAAAAAGAGCTTTTCTTGTACATCACGCTGGGCCAATTTTGAAATGCGTTTTTTTTTTCTCACTCGGTGGCAACGACCTTTCGCAGAATATACAAGCGATAACATGAAGCTTCTACTTTAAGAAATAAATCCTCCGTTCAACAGTGATAATTGTCTTATTCTTCACATTTCCCCTTCTCGTAAGGTTCCGTTCAGCCTCATGCTCCTTGTCAGCGACGATGTGTACAGTCTCATCAATTACGCCGGTGCTACCGGATGGCTCTTCAGTGCCTTGGTGGTATCTATTATACCATACTACAGGTGGAAATATCCCAACTTGAAACGCCCCTTTAAGGTAATTTTCCCGACCATTCTCCTTGAAAGAAATAAATGTAGTTGTATATAGTATCAGCACAGGAATCTGATTGAATATGAAACGTTTTTAGTTGAACTTTTTTCTCCATTTCATTTCTTCTCCATCGAGTCTCGTAATCTTCTTTTCACTCGATCGGACAATTCAACTTGGTGCGGCTTCTTGCAGCCCCTGAGAATGTTTAAGTTACCAATATTTGGGCCACGATGCATCTTTCACTTTTTTCAAAATAAAACTACAGATATTTATATTGACTCTAATATACTTTGCAGACGAAATTACAATAAAACGCTATTGATGGATAGAAATGGAATGACAGTGACTGTCAGCACTTAAAGCGCTCATTCTACCCCCTCAATAAATTTTATACACCGAAAAGTTCCTCTTCGAGCTACAGACGATGGCCCACTGCCGAAATTGTGCCCGTATGGCAATGCTTAAAACTGATACTTGATATATGCGTCTGTTTTAATTTATATTTAATTCATGTCGAACCTCCTCATTCATTTTTATTGTCAATGTCATGTGATTGTTATAATGATGACGATGATAATGAATATCAGAATTATTGTTTTAAAGAGTAGTTTTATACAAAGTCTTATATATCAATTTTGTCATCGTAATCATCATGACCATCACTATCATGACCATCTCCACCACCAACATAAGGGAGTTTTCGCAACCGGCGACGCGGCCTTCTACAACGGTAATCTTAGCGGGGGTCGCACTCAGAGCGAGAATTTCCGCGTAGCGTCCAAACCTACGACGGTATTCAGCCGTATTAGCGTCGGGAGTCAAGCTAGTACGGAATGGCGAGCTCATTTAAATACCCCGTAGTCAGAAACTTGCATCGCCTTGCGAAAACTCCCTAATACCACTACCACCTCCATAATCTCCAATACAACTATTACTTCCGCCACCACCACCATCTCCAGCGGCCATCGTACACTACAACTACCACCATCACCACCATCACCACCATCACCACCACCATCAACACCACCATCACCACCATCACCACCATCACCACCATCATCACCACCATCACTTCCTTCACGTCATCATCATCAATGTTTATCTTCTTTTTTACCTAGGTTCCCGTGTTCATCCCTATCATCTTCTCCCTGTGTTGTGTCTTCGTGGTCGGCATGTCGCTCTATAGTAGCCCCGTGGACTGTGGCATCGGAGTCGCCATCACATTAAGTGGTGTCCCTGTGTATTTCATCGCAGTCAAGTGGAGGAATAAACCCCGCTGGGTTAATGATAACCTAGGTAAGGAAGAACCGTACGCAGGGGTGGGGGTACCCCCGGGGTACCCCACGATTGGGGCAATTTTAGGGGCATCATATCAATGTCCCCCATGGTATCCTGGAAATTAAAACACCCCCAAATCTTGTAATAATAATAATAATAATAATAATAATAATAATAACGTTTTATTTAACCAGGGTAGCCACTTCAGTTATGAAACTGCTCTTCCAGCGGGCCCTGCATATTATAATTTGTTATTACTACCCTTCTCCAATCTAATATGCTGAGCGCCTAGCTAGAAGGCAGAAGGTCCCATTGTTATAAGTCTTTGGTTTGACTCGGCCGGGGTTCGAACCCACGACCTCCCGTTCATGAGGCGGGCGCTCTAACCACTGAGCCACCATGCCCGGTGTAACGGTGTAATGTGTAACCTCGACGGCTCAAGAGCCCATAGCCACAGGCAGGTACACCATACTTTCTATAGTCCGGGTTTAAGAAGATAGTTCTCGTTCACTAGTGTATGGAACGCCAATCATCGTGTAAACAATTTTTACCATAATTCTGTAACTATAAATAATCGCAAAATATCTTATCAATATGAAATCATCCTTTTCAAATTGTCATTTTCATGAAAAGATTCATTTCGTTTAATTCATTTATACCAGATTTACAGAAACTTCTACAGAATAAAGAGCTTTGACACTTGGCATGCTTGGCGCTCCATAAATCAGTGTACCGACAAATATTCATTCAGTCCTCCGTTAAACCAGACCATTAGGAATGCGGGCCAGGGACTTTGAAATGTTGTTTTTGGTGACTATAAGACAGCTATCCATACAAACCCTCCTCGCACAGCTACACTCTAGTTTTGCAATCACAATGAGAAATTGAAGGGACAGAGGATGCGTGAGAATTTTTGTTTTTTGCAGACAATTATTTGATGGGTTTAAGAAATACATTAATAGCTTTATGTCACATCATTATTAAACAAAATCAAGAGATTACATTTCTTTACATTCATGTCAGGATTTGCAGGGTGAAAATCTCAAAACTTGTAGAGAGCCACAAAATTATAAGTGAAACCTTTCCTTAAATATTCAAAATATTTTCTATCTGCTTAATTACACTCGTTTTTCTTTTCAAATTTAAATGTTATAACTGACAATGTTTTATTCACCCCATTTATTGTGTACAACATATTTTCACTCATATAGAGAAAACCACAGAGCCTTTAAATATGAACTTTACAAATTCTTTCATTCACTCATCTTGCTGCTTTAGATAATATTTTGATATTAGTTTTTGAGGGCTTGCAAATCCCTGATATGGGCTTTAAGGTGTGTCCTTTGGCAAGACATTGATCTTCATTTGCCACTCTCAACCGAGGTGTTAAATGGGTACCCGGTAGGATGCGAAGGCTAATGTGCTTATATTAGCAAGTGTGCGCTTGTAAAAATGACGCCTGGCTGGAATGCTCCCAAAGGGAGTGGAGAATGTGCATACATTGTGTGCGTGTATGCCTGAATCCGATGACCGGGGTGATATATATCTGTAAAGCGCTTTGAGAGGGCCTTCGGTCCTGAAAAGCGCTATATAAGAACTATCTATTGTTATTATTATGTGAATTCTGAATCCTTTGCTATCTTTGTGTTTGTTTATTACAGACAAGATGACGATATTCCTTCAACAACTTCTCTATGTCGTCCCCCAAGAAGACCTCGGTATGGTTGATGAACTCATCGACAACAAGATGACTGATATAAAAACAGAAACAGAAAAGAAGTTGTCGTCTGGATAAACATTGCTATGACAACATCAGAGTGGAGTTAACATGAAAAATGCTCATTTGAAAGTGGTCAGAAATACTCTATATACTATGTGGTTATGGGGTTACAGTAAGATGTTATACTTTAACTCGATCAAGAAGACTTTCTAAATTCAGCCTAAGGTCATTTCAAAAGCCCTGCCGATCACTCTTTTGAAATGACAATGATAAATTAGGTAATCCGAATATGATTTATTTGGGATCTATAATAGAGCATTGAAATTGTCCTCGAGTTCATTTCTGGAAAGTCTTGACGATCCTGTTCGTAGCAGGGCCGCGTGAGGAAATCGGGATATGTAATTAATGATGTTCATATATTATCATGGAAAGTCAAAATAAATATTATGATTTGTATGAATCAAGTAATAATGAACATAAGACATGGGAAGCCATATTTAATACCCAGAGAAAGATGATGACACTCGTATGTATCAGGGTTTCAATATTTCAAGTTAATTTGTTCCACATTTTACTAGAAATATAGACAGACATATAAAATAGAAATTATATATATATATATATATATATATATATATATATATAGTATGAGCACATCTCGATGATATTGAATTCATATGATAGATTAAGTAGAATTTGAGGAACCTATTGAAAAGCAGTGCTTGTATAGTATAGGTTCCTGACAAAATAGACATTGTAGATGAAAAACCGTAGCAGTAGAGAAAAACATAATATAGGATATATTTTCTTAATGGTTTTATTGCACTGATTTACAGAGCAGACAGGATGATGCGGTTATGGGGTTTATTTTTTTGTGGGGAAAATATTATCGGTGGTGGGGGTATTGTCTATTATACAACATCTACGTGGATCCTTGTCATTTGATTGGAGGATTGTTGGTCACATGATATTCAATAGATGTTATATTGCACGGGCGTGCATTTTTGGTTATATGCGCCGTGCATTTTTGGTTATATGCAGACTGCGTACCTCTCTGCCGTGCGCGTATCCCTGAGTGTATCTGACGCAAAGGCAATCTCAATGTGATCGAGAAGGCTTGACTCCAACTTTCATTTCTCTTTAATATAAGGAGTAAAGCATAATTTGTTGATTAACGTTCTATTACATCTTCTTCGATGTTGTATAAAACAAATAACAAATGTTTTTCATTCGTTTAATAGTGCGAATATTTTCATTCTTTCAAAGATTAAAGATAAACTTGAGTTCTGGTAATGCGATTGCATTGTGAAAGAAAGGGTGTGGAATGGATCAGAAAAGTTGATCATATAGCATGTAAGTAATGGTGTGTAATGCAAGGTTCTGGAGTCATCAAAATCATCATAAATTTGGCAGAGTCTTGGTAAAGTAACAATCACTTACACAGAAAGATGTATATGGGACAACACACATGGTGTCGGGGCTAGTACTACCCTGATTTTCTTATCTTTCTTTGCTCATTACTCAGCCATTATACATTTTCTTCCAAAATTATTTGGCACTTGACATTTATTTGTAATCTTGAACATTCAGTGTAAGTTTCGTTAGATTCTGTGAGAATTCATTTTCTTTTCTTTTTTTACCAGAACTCAAGTTTATCTTTAACGTTAATTCTATTCAACTCGGCTGACGCCTCGTTGAATAGAATGTTAATTTTTCATCTCATGAAAATATTCAAAACCATTCATTATTTGTATACAATTCTGACATCTTCTCTATATTAAATTATTTGATACTTTTTGTGAGGAGGGCTGGGGGAGATTTCCAATACTACTGTGAGTGAACTCATCACAGCTACAAAATATATACATTCATTCGAATAGGACTTATATCCGTATTTTCCTTAGTTACATGTTCTCATGCATATCATATTTGATCTTTTATCATTTATGTAAAATTAAAGTCCATGGTAAGACTAGGTGGTGTGTGGTCTTCATTTAATAGAGAGATCATTCAAGTGAAATAGATGTTGTACAACACACATTTGAATAAAGCAAGTTAATGAATAAATTATTGCAAAAGAGTTAACATGTTAATGTTATCATATTCGTCAGTCACAGGAAACTGATTTACTGAAAACTAAATGACATCCAGATACCCCCAAAACAGGAAAATATAACCAATAAACTCTTGGCTGGGAATGTGTGTGTATATATATATAGGCAGGCGCGTACGCAGGAGGGTGTTTGGAGGGTTAAACCCCCCCTTTGGTATTTTTATATGTATAACCCCCCTAAAAAAATCCAACCCCCCCCTCCCCCCCCCCCCCCCCTTTGGGTTTTTTTTTTTTTTTTTTTCAAATTTAAAAAAAAAAAAAAAAAAAAAAATTATTCCCATGGCTGACCTAAAAAAAGGCGACCTTACCCCCCCCCCCAACGGAGCAAAATGTCAAATTTTCAAATTTCGAGACAAAAAAAAAAAAAAGTGTCCCCTTACCCCCCCCCCCCCCCCCCCCCCCCCCCCGCTTATTCAGCGGCTGGCTGAGTCGATGCGAAATTTTCGGCCCCATTTAAAAATGTTAAAACCCCCCCCCCCCCCCCCCCTTGAAAAATCCTGCGTACGCGCCTGTATATAGGCATTGATAGAGTCATGTTTCAGGTCACAGAAGTGTATTAAATTGTACCACAAAACGAGAAAGGTATTAATAAAGGAACTTTGAACGCGATGTTTCAAGAAAATCTTTTTTCGCAGCACGGTAATTTCAGAGTAATATTCTATCCACTATAAAATGTACTTTATATAATTGTGTACAACGATTTGTGTTCCTTTAAGGCAAATTCACAAGGATATATAGAAATTTCATTCTGCTTCGTCGTTGATTTTCTTAAAAATCGCACTCAGTGTTTTATCATACATGTAAATTTCATAAAGTTCATATGTTTTCATAGAAAAATAATAAATCATGTGAAGAACATTGAACGAGATCCCCCACTAACCTTTCACAAACTTCCACATTTCATTCATGGCCCACTACTAATTTATAATTTTTAAAATATTGATATAACATTAAAAGAATCAAACTAACTAGCGTTTGATATGGTTAGTCATGCTTTCAAAACTGAAATGATATGGATTTTAAAAGGATTGCATAAGCTGGATTGAAGATTATAATTATTCCAAAGTACATTTTTGATATAACTAAAATTCTCTAGCGACACCAAGGTTGAAAGACGTTGTACTAGATGTTCAAAATTTATGGAGGCAGCTTGACCAGACCGGGAGGGTGTATATTTTGCCCTAGAGTGTGAAAAGTTGAATTTAAAGTAAAACGGACACACATACATACTCTCTTTCTCTTTTCCCGTATGTCTTCTATCTTTCACTCCTATCTCCATTTCTTATTCTTCTCCACTACATCAAGGACGCAGATCGGATCACCTCAAAAAAATGTTCTTCGATCATCGTTTAATGCACCTCTTGAACAGATTATGACACAGGAATATCACGACTTAATTTGAGTATCGAACCTGTAAACAGAAATTGACTCTTAATATTTATTGTTCGTAAATATCCCTGTTAAAGTAGCTAATTATTTCTTGTTAACTTTACGTTATCCATATTCTTTTAACAAGGTAAAACATTTTTTGAAAGCGACTCGATTCTTTAAAAAATTAATGTTAAACAGGATCAGTATAATACGTTTCTCGATAGACAATGAATTTCCACACCGACCTTGCCATCGACCCCCCCCCCCCCCCCGTGCGATCAATAATTTGTTGATCAATGTATTTACATGGATCTTCAATAAATCACCTGTGTGACAATACAAATCATAATTGGGACGGAATATCGTTGTTGAAATAAAATGGCTAATCAACGCTGACGACTGTGTTTTGTGCTCAGGGATGGATGATTAATGGCTGTTGCACAGTACGATGCGTCATTTCCCTGACGCACGACTGCGTCAGCTACTAGCGCGGCCATTAACGCACCGCGCATAAGTGAAGTCCGTACGAAAAAAATGAATGCACAATGCAGTGAAAACATAGCTTTTAATAACTGGCGTGTGCACTAAGCGCTTTCATGGAATTGATTAGTTCATGTAATGACGCAATCGAAATGGCATCCTGTGTGCATAGGGCTTGCGTCAATGTCACACGAGGCGCTATTGCACTACGCCAAAAGTCACCGATTGATTGTTCAATAGTTATGTGACAATAAACAATGAAAATTAGACCCCCAAACTTCAGATAATGGTTTGCGTAGATTGTAACACGAATGTTTCGTCAACGCCAATTTTCGGACAAAGGTTTCAAGGTTTCAAGGTCTCTTTTTATTTCCACATGATATAACATAATCAAATGAATATGAAATTTAGGCCCTATACAAATTCAATAACATGATATTAGCCAAAAGTTTTACAAATGATTATACAATTGTTTTAATTAATTGGCACAGTGGTAAAATATAGTGGAAGGGTCTATTAAAAAAGCATGGCTTGTATTTTATAAACCCCTTGGGAATAAAATAGTTACAAGTGCTCTGTAATATGATTAGAAAATACATGTATAAAAATGCTTAGATAATCGTACACCCTTCCCCTCCTCCTACGCTACAAAACAAAAAGGTTGTCTTTAACATGGGTGTATACACAAACAATTAAAAAGATAATGGAAATAATAACAAATGCTAACCTTTCTAGCAGAGAAGAGAGAGAGAGAGAGAGAAAGAGAGAGAGAGAGAAAGGAAGAGAGAAAGAAAGATAGAGAGAATGGAAGATGAAGCATGAACGACGGGGACATTACACACTGTGGTTACTTTTGCAATGTTTTGGTCTTATCTTACTAATAGGTTTATCTTAAAGGTAATACAAAGTTTTGGTATGGGGTCATGAATAAGGTTCAAATGAATATATTGAAAGCATGTGCGCTCCTACAATATTCAGTGATCGTTGTCGCGGTTGAAATCGAGTCTAAAGTTATGAAATTGTAAATAATAAACTCTTTATGTTGTATAGCTCCCTCTAAAGGTCAAAATATGAATTAAGCTATAAAACAATATTTCTTGACTAAAATCGACCGATTCGCTATTCCCATTCGGAAATTATATATCACAACTACATATTCTGAGATTTTCATGGTCGCAGCTACCATTGTACGGCCGTAGGCGCTATTTGAAATTTATCAAGATTTACCGGGAGCACCGGTAAATTTTTATATTCAAATTTTCTCGAAAGCAGAAGTGTTTTAGGGGCTAAATTCTTATAATAAATCCACATGGGCATCCAAGTATATCAAAATTGTAAAGAATCACTATCCACCCAAATTTCAAAAATTCCCTTGTATTTATACCTTTAAACAATAACAACAAAAAATGATTGTTCCAAAAGCTGTTTTTTTTTTTGTGTACATGTTGTCGTTTTAATAACTGTATCTATCTAGAAGGTATTGTTTAAGTCTACGTTTAAATGAAAAAAGTGGTAGGAGCTGATTTAATATTATTATTTAATGAGTTCCATAGCTGTGGTCCGGTATATAAAAAAGTCTTTTGAGCAGTGACGGTTCTGGGTCCTGTTTCATAAAACTTTTTATCTATAACAAATGCTAAATGTCTATGACAAATTTGCTCTCAGCCAATCAGATGCCACGATTTCAGTAGCTTATAACAGTAGCTTGTAACTTGTTATTGATATCAAGTTTTATGAAACAGGGTCCTGGTCTGTGGCAGATGAAATTGATCTGATTGTCTAGTAGGGGTACTTGTGTTTTCTTCAAAATGATTACAACAAGAAAGAATAATACGAAATCTTGCGCTAGGCCATCAAACCCTCTTTCAAAGGGTTGAGCCTAAAGATTGGTGCCTGGACATGTGAGTTTATGCGCATGAATGTCGGTGAATGACGCAGTGGAAATAACGCCTCGTGTGAAACGGCCCCTTATGTTCGTTAGGCACGATGCGTCATTGCGCGGTCTATTATGCTCCATGTGAGAGCAGTGTCGTATATAAAGCGCATAGAAAATTACATGTGTAAAAAAACATTCCTTGGAATGACTGGCGTTTGAGGTAATTAAACTTTCTTGGGACGACTAATTCGCAGGTATTCATGAAATTCAAATGACGGTTGTTCTTTTATAATTCTGTTGCCCACTTTCATCATCGATATCATCACATTCATAAACTATCTCGATGTTTCGACTTTGGCACCAGGCACCAGCTCCAACTGAATGCTTATTAAAAAGTTTGCTTTGAAGAGATTGAATTTTCGTTTGAGTAGTTTTCGGCAAGGTTGATGCTGTCTTTGAGTATCCTTTCGACAAGCACTGAGGCAAATATTTCGAGAGGCGACATGCTTTCCTGCTCTATATCATCTCCTTGAGGTGTTCTTTTAAGCTCCGCATGGTCACTCGGTGTCCCTGATGCAAACGAGATAGTTTTGTTGTCCATTTCATGAACAGTTGCTAGAACCGTGTCGTTGAAAGGCTCGTCGACGCAACCGCTAACTCCAGACCAATGTCCCCCGACTTCTTCGAGTGTGCTTTCTTTGTTCAAACTTTTTGGACAATGTCTCACTTCACCAATCCCTGCCTCGTCATTATCGCCGTCGTTGTCGTCAATGATCACCCCTCCTTCATTTCTAAGAACAAACGTTTGGGCGGTCCCAGCATCAATCCCACCCTTTGAATCTACTTTAAGACTCCCGACCGACACACTAAACGTCCCCGTTGAGGACGTGCTACCCAAAGACTTCAGAAACATTTTGGCTATACCATTGGCCCCCGTCTTCTGACCTTTCTTCAAGAACGGTGGCGTGCTCGTCCCGCTGGTGGCTTCCGGTACATGCTCATGCGCAATGATGTCACTCCGAGAGTGATACACAGACGAGGGTGATGCCGTACCGCTTGAATCCCTTTTGGTGCTAAAACTGGTGATGGCAAGCTTGTAGCGGTTGATGATGGACGGGTCGACCGGCACAAGCTTGGCGATTTCTTTGATGTCAACCAGCTCATTCCTCAGTCGACTCAATTCTTCCTGCGGTGTATGAGAAGAACATAGTAACAATGGATTTATTATTCTTGCCATACTATTTTATATCCCCCTGTCTTAATAGGCACTCTTGTCAAACAGAATTTAAAAGCTCACTCACACCAAATATACACTGATACAAAACGAACCAATTCTTGGCCAACTTATTATTTTTCTGATTCGGTATGTTGTTGGTATGTGTTGGTCTCCTTGATGGGATTGTGGTGCTATTCAGAGCATTTAAATGGCATAATGATACAACTAAGGATAAAATTGAAATATCGTTAACAAAATATACATATATTATGTTAATTCCCATTTTGACGCGTAAGATATATCAAAGAAAATAGCTCGGGACATGAAGTGAGGATGTATCATACGTCGATGATTCCATCTGTAGTTTGTGTAGGTCATGAAAAACTCAACGATTACGAACAAAATATCCTGAATTATATGAACAGAATTATAACCCAGGAATCACGACATTCTAACTATAATCTTAACTACAAGTTACTTCTTTAAAAGGCATTTAATCAACACAGCTTCATTTCATTTCCTGCCTAATCAATTTTATAAATTGATTTTTTAAAACTATTATATCTCCGTGGTTTTGATATATTGATTTCAGATTCGCGGTCACGTGACTTACCGAAACATCCGGATTTTCGCGAGAAAAGTCGATGGTCACACTAGAGTTATCGATGGTAAAAACAATTTGACTCCTCCTATCCCCCGTCTTCTTCTTGTCCGTATTGGTCTTGTAGAAGAGAACAATCTTAAAGAAAGCACAGGAGCGGGTTAATCAAAGAGATATATAAAACATAGATCGATGTACAAAACGAGAAGAGTAGACATATAGGACATGTTGACTTGTTTTGCGATCTTTGAATAGCAATGTACATGTATATCTGCAGAGAGCCGCGGTTCTACGACACCTACCCCTTGGACATCCATCCCCGGACAACCACCCCAGTCAACTACCCCCTAGGACAACTACCCCCTAGGGCAACCACCCTCTAGGACGACTACGCTCCGAGGCAACTACCCCCTTGGACAACTACCCCAGACAACTATCCCCTATTACAAATACCCCTAGACACCTACCCCCGGACAAATATCCTATTGGTAGTTGTCCGTGGGCAGTTGTCCGGATGGTAGTTGTTCGGGTGTAGTTGTCCCGGCATTGGTCGTCCTAGAGGGTGGTTGCCCTAGGGGGTAGTTGTCCTAGGGGTAGTTGACTGTGGGTGGTTATCTGGGGGGTGGATGTCCAGGGGGGTAAGTGTCCGGATACGGCAGTGAACAAAAGGGCTGGAGATGATTCGTATTCACGACCTCCTGATTGAATATAGACAGCCACAGTACCACAGTGGCTAATCATTCGTTACACATTCATTGATCAGAAACACTTGAGTTTTTGATGTCACCTGGAATTACATTCATTTACTTCTTCTCTCTAAAAATAATGTACAGGAAATGAAATCCATTATGAGTCGCATTATGAATCAATCATTTTGGAGTAGCAATCCACGCCCCTTGATAGTGGAATCGAGAAGAGTAATTCAGACCACTACTTTGGAGCGGATTCAACACCAAAACCAAGATACTCCAAACATGAACCCCCCTACCCCTCCAAAAGAGAGTGGATTTTCATTTTACGACATGCAGAGAGTTGAAAAGCGGATATGAGTTTAATATAGCAATAAACTATTGAACGCTAACCATGACCATCATGATCATTTATAAAGGTTTGTATATGAATGGTTCGATGGGTATGTATACATGATTTGGATGGCATACGTGATTTAGTGAGAACATGCAAGCGCATTATTTCACGAGTATCATTAAGCAGGCTGATCAAGAGATCTAAAAAGGTCGTGGCCCATTGTTTGATTTACCCCCCCCCCTTACGTTACCGAGAGTAAATATAGAGAACACCCCCGGGCCCTTCTGAAAATCCCGGACTCGCCCAAGGTATGTCTTCTGGAGCGGCTCTAGGATTTCATAAAGCATACTGACAAGCAACACAAAAAGAAAAAAAAGGGGTTATCACCTAAACTCAGAGGGGGGGGGGGGGGGGGGGGGGTCCAATAAACACAACATCTATGACAAGCCCCCCCCCCCCACCACCATTTTGTTTGGGTGGGGGTTGGAGCCTGTGACCCCCCTGGTAGTATGACGTACCTTTGATACGAAGAGGAGAGCCACCATTACGGTAAATGTTGCATGAAGACGACAGAAATTGACAATGAGAAGAGTATCAGGGCCTGATAACTCAGCGGGGATCCTAGATCAGAGAGAAATGAACGAACTATTAAGATCATGCCAACTGGGTGAAGAAGATATAACTTGGTGAGAAAAAAATAAATATATATGAAAAGAGGAAAGGAAGGATAAAAAGGGAATGAGAGGGGAAAGAAAGAGGAGGTGAAAAGAAAGAAGAGAAACATAACAAGGGAGGACAAATAATAAAAGAGATCGAGTCAGTGTAATGAAAAGAAAGATAGACAGAAAGTGTGAGAGGAAAACGGGGAGAAAGAGAAAGAGAAAGCGTGAGTGGGGGGGGGGGGAGGGGAGTTGGGAGAGGGGAAAGGTGAGAGCAAAATAGGTAGAAAGAAGAAAGGTAGAAATAAGAGAGAGGCAAGAGAGATAATGATGTTTGAAATTGACCCTACTTACACAAACGAAACAATTCCTCCAAAAATACTGATGAGGGCTTCGTTGTAGATGGAAACGCTGATGTATCTTGATTCGTTAAACGACGAGGGCGCTTTCCTGACTTTGAAACACAGGTACATCCCCCAAGCTAGAAGGAGTAGTTCTCCTGATTATTGCAGAAGTAAACAAGAGCAGGGAAGAAAAACAAAATACGTTAATTAATCTGTTAGAGCCACTGTCCACAATTTAAAATGCTGGAACTAGTTTTAAATCAGTCCACAAAACGATCAGCAAAGCAAGATTTCAAGCACATAGGCGGTATATGGTATGGTTTCAAATTCTTGTCTGAGTCGATTGGATACCTCTGATTTCCCCATTTTTTAATATACTGTATTATACTAAACGTTGACCATATTTCTTAAAACAAATCAACTAGGTTCACTTTCAGGACCGTGCTAAAATGTTACATAGTTCTAAAGAAAACTTATGAAATGTACAAATACAATAAAAACAAATTGAACCTAGCTGATCTTTCTATATAATGAAAAAGAACATCAATAATAAAAGAAAGCAACAGAAAACAACAAACAAACAAACAACAACAAACTGGCGTACATATTTAACATTTCCATATATGATACTAAGTTGTAAATGTACTTTTGGTAAAGATTTTAATTATTCTGTGATTAAGATGGTTTATTTTTTGTTTGTAGTTTAGATTGGAAAAATATTATTGTATATACTTTATCTAATGTACTTTTTCTTGTAATAGTTGAAGCTAATTTGTTTGTTAGTAGAGCGCCATTAGCGCCAGTACCTGGCGGATACCAGGGCTATATCAATATCTATTATTAAACAAAACTCAAGATATACATTCCGTCCGTCAAAATAGATGTTCCGTCCATCATCTATGGTCAATAATGCATGTGTTTCCATTATCAGATAATAATATACATCTCTTTTCCAATTTCTAATAAAGGGCGTGCCATTTATAGCTGTTAAGCTGCTAGAGCCTGTTCATAAAAAAATAAAAAAAACTTTCCCGCTTTCAATTCAACCACAAATTGATGTATGTAGGAAAATAAATTGCTTCATCTCTTAGCAACAAAACGTAACTCATTTTAGCTGCTTTTTTGTCATGAGTCTTTGTTTCCTTTTCAGATGGATTCATCGACTAATTGTTTGACCTTTGGTTCTACAACATCACATTTGGAAAGCATATTTTCATCTTTCATCAATTTGTTTAAATTGTCTAAATTATCGTTTTAACTCGCCAGTGTTGATGGGAACGAAGCCCTTGTCCAGAGATCAAATTAAAGATAAAGACCGGTTATGGTCATGCGATCGCATTGTCAAAGAAACGTTGTGGAATCGATCAGAAAAGGTTGACTAGCATATAAGTATTGGTGTGTACTGCAAGGTTCTGGAATCATCAAAATGATAAGAAATTTGACCCAGTCTTGGTATAGTTACACGCACTGTATACAGAAAGATGCATATGTGACTACACACACGTGCGCGACACGTGCGTTATATCTATCAGGTCCAAATAGATATAATAACTTACCAAATATATCAATTAGTAGGCGGTTTCTCGGCAAAATTTGTTTGATCACGTATTAGTCAAAACATATTCTTTCACATGATTGGTAATAAGAGCTTCCATTTAATTTTTTAAGAGGGGGGCATTTCCAAAACTGGTCCTTACCTTTAAAACACTTATGTTAACGATTATCTAGCTCTGATCTCGAAAATGACTCACGCTTCGAGAAATGGCTTATTAGAAGTCGTCATTGTTGTATGGAGGGTTAAAAATCCTTCGGTTTCTCTGATCACTAATCTAATGGAAGGCACGCGGGGGGGGGGGGGGGGGGGGGGCTCTCCACAATGATATCAAGGACGAAAAGGGCATATTATGAATTAATAACAGAGCCATGTCTGTGTTTTTCGCACATGCTTTAAGTCGTGGCTATCTATTCTTAGTGTTAGATAGCAATCGATCAACCTGGTTACTAGTTATCAATGAATGATCTATATCTTTTTAAAATCTTTTTCTGTACTAACCTTCCTCTCCCATATTCGTCAACAGTCTCGCTATCTCATTTCAATCCATCATCATTATATCTTATGATTTGACGGACATGAATGCAATAATGCACAATATTAAACGCAGGTACATGTACTTTTAATTGGGTTAGAAGATTACCGCGTTCAATCCATTAGCCTAATTCCTGGTAACAAAAATCAACAACAAAAGAGTATCCTTTGGGAAACGATGGGTGATATTGACTGTACAAAAGCAGTATATTACCACCACACACTTAATATTATACAAATAATGAATGGTTATGAGTTCAATATTGCGAATATTTTCATGAGTTGAAAGATGTACATTCTATTCAATGAGGCGTCAGCCGAGTTCAATAGGATTAACGTTAATCTTTCAACGAATGAAAATATTTGCACTATTGAACGAATGAAAAACATTCATTTTTTGTTTTATACAACATCAAAGAAGATCTAATACAACGTTAATCGACAAATTATGCTGTACTTCTTATATTTATTAAAGTTGGAGTCAAGCTTTCTCGATTACATACATTCAGATTGCCTTCGCGTCAGATACATACAGGGATACGCGCACGGCAGAGAGGTACGCAGTCTGCATATAACCAAAAATGCACGCCCGTGCAATATAACATCTATTGAATATCACGTGACCAACAATCCTCCAATCAAATGACAAGGAACCACGTAGGTGTTGTATAATACCTTCTCGACTAATAATATCGTCATGTTCCATACGCTAACTATAACGATATAATATTTATCATTGTCAATGGAATTATTGCTATAATCATGTTTAATAACAATATAAAAATAAATCGAAATGAACGTTGGCGTGTTTTTTTAACAAAGTGATACGATATATCTGACTATTCTTGATGTCGTTAGTACATCGGTATTTTACGTGCATTTTCATAATCATATTCAAACCCCTTGAAACTAAAATGATTAAAGATATTGTGTGCCATTTACTGTTTGATAATAAAACGTTTAAATCACAATAATAATCATAGTAATAAAAATAATAATAGGCATTTCTATAGCGCCGTCTATCTAGAAATTCTTATTCCGAGGCGCATTTATTATTACTCCGGCTTTAGCCTAGCTGCCATTACAGCGCTCTAGCATTTCAAGGAATTAATTCCTGCCAGGTACCCATTTACCTCACCTGGGTCGAGTGTGACACATGAAGATTAATGCCTTGTCAAAGGACATTAGTGCCGTATCGGGGATCGAACCACGACCTTTGAATTTCAAGTCAAGTGCTTAAACCACTCGACTACGACACGTGTACATGGTAATATCGACTGCGCCATGGGTCTGTAAAAACCTCTTTTGACACTGCAAAATCACAAATGGAGAAAAGGGGTTGATTATCTTCAATAATCGCCTATTTAATTTTGGAAGCGACCATATAAGTATAATTATGCCAATGGTAATTAAAATGTTATCTATTAGATTTGAAATGACGCTTTGAAGATCAGTGGTAGATGAATTAATCGAAATAATTCTTTTTAAATTATTGTTGAATCATCCGTAAATGGGTCTTTAATTATGTTTATGTGAATGTTCTTAGCCTCGCCGTGACGATACCGGAATTTCTACTCAAACGACGCAAATTAAAACAGCTTCGTGTCCAATCATCTTCAAGCATTCCGCGCCTTTCCTCGCAGGCGCCATTTTAAATATCATCATTAATTATTGATGTAAGATGAAAATTTTGAAAAGGGAGACTCCATTAAACACAAACCAATCACCGTAGAATTAGGCCGCTATTGTATATAAAAATAGGGGTAATTACCGTGTTCTGTCGCACGAACAAGCATAATTAACATGATGAAAGAGATTCGAAGTTTGAGATCTTGTTAAAGATAAAGTTGAGTTCTGGTCATGCGATTGCATTGTGAAAGCAACGTTGTGGAATCGATCAGAAAAGGTTGATCAAAAGACATGTACTGCAAGGTTTTGGAATCATCAAAATGATAAGAAATTTGGCCCAATGTCTTGGTAAAGTTACAACACTGTACACAGAAAGATGTATATGGGACTACACGAAAATGTGGCATAAAAATCCGTCTCGATTTAAAAAAAATAAAAAAATATATATTTAGAATATTAAAGCATTTGAAGAGCCATGCTTTTCAGGGAACATTTTTGATCTGATGTTCTTCCACACTTGCATAATACAATAATAACGCTCACAAACTATTTTTCACCTCTTCCCAGAACTCAACTTTCTCTTTAAGATGGAAAATACTAAATTTATGAGCTTTCTCATATTATACAGAATGATCACAGTTTGGAAGATATACAAAGTATAAATACCCCATGCAAAGAATCGCTCTCCAATGGCCCCATATTAAAAGAAACTGATGAGAAATCGCTAAAAGTTTGGGACCAAACTTAATGCCATAATATTATGTGTGCATATCCTAGTCCCATATATTCTCTGAACTGTGTATGTCACCATCATAATTTCGAGTTGCCACACTACAGTTTCCCGATATTTAGCAAAAGTAAGGACCACGTCGTTGGAGTAGGTGGTTTTTTGTAAAACTGATTCAATTTCCGTTGATTGATGATTCCAAAACTTCACAGAATAGGTCTACACCAATTTACTTTGCAATCAAAAATTCTCAATTGCTTCATGATTATTTCAACTTTAACTCGAAACACCACTTAGACGCTGTAGAAGGACGCGATGGAATATTGCAATATAACAGGATTATCTAATAAAGAGAAATGATTAACATGATCATGATGATGTGCAGCTATATAGCATTGTCCTTGATTATTGCTCTCTATTAAATGCACTTCGATCAATCGTAACTCGTCCCTCAATATAGGGGAAAGATAAAAGACCCGAAACACAAAGGTTTATAGCGCTTAATTGCATTTTGACAATTCAGACTGGTTAATATATAGCCAGCCTTGTAAACGACAATGTGCAAGCAACGATGATCTCGATTGCCCATTACAATTTTGCACATGATTGCAAACCTCAGCTGTTACGGGGCCCAGTTCGCATTTAAACTTCAGAGATCGTTATAATTCCATCGACGGTAGATCTGAGTAGCTTTACTGTTTCAGACAGTAGGAATGTAAAGATAGGTAGAGAACGGGAAAGTGTATGCAGAGAGAAAAAAAGGACTTATTATATTATACTGTCATACCGGGGGAAGACTCATACGACATTCTTTCAAAAACTTAACGTACTTGCTGCGTGGAGCTTAGCTGTATTGTGATCTTCATTCAACTAGGTGTAATAAATACTGCTAGACAGATTGTCATATTTCATGGCAATAATCTCTCTCAGCTATCGTTAGATTTGTTATCAATAATTATCAACACAGTAATTATAATATATTTCCTTGAATTTATTTATATAGAAATAATAGTAGATGCTGCTTGTAAGTATCGGCTTGCATGGTGATGCAGATATACAATAGGCTTGCGGTTGCACCATGTGAGAGAGGGGGAGGATACTAATAATACTGATGTAAACATTATACCTGCTTGGCCTACATAATTCCATGCATTTTGTGAGCATTCGAAGTACTTGAGACCAGCTCGGTTGTAGTTCTGCTCGACCTCAGAAGGGCTAAGAAAAGTCCAGGCTGAGAGAAAGACTACGAAAATGGCCAGCAGGATACCGATGCGCAAGAAGAGATTGTTGTCCGTTATGCGCACAGGTTTGGCGCTTCGAACTGTGAAGACTTTGGTGATCCTAGAGAGATGGGGAGAGATAGAAACATGTATATAATATATAGATATGTAAATAAATGGATATATCCACTCCCTGGGGAGCATTGCAGCCAGGCGTTAATTAAGCGCACACTTGCTCATCTACCGACATTAAATTTCGCACCCTACCGGGTACCCATTTAACACCTGGGTGGAGAGTGGAACATGTAGAGTAATGTCTTGCCAAAGGTTATAAGTGGTGCGGCGGGAATCGAACCCCGTACCTTGTGATCTGCAGTCGGGAGACCTATCCACTAGACCACAACACCAATGAAATGAAGAAATGAAAATGGCATTTGTATGACGCAATAATCACCGGAACACGATCTCAAAGATTTTTGAAAAAAAATCAAGTGAAGGGCAATAAATCGCCAAAGAATTCATGTTCAGATTACGTAATATATCATTGCAACATTCGTACATTTTAATGAGTGATGTCCCTGGTTATTTGGACTGACTTAAGAGCAGTGCATGTGTTCATTTTCTTTTTCTTTAACCTTCTTTTTTTCTTCCTTTCTAATTCCTCCATCAAGTAATCCACACAAAACAATCACTGTTTTTTAGTAGATTGCTCAATTTCCTTTAAAAATCGACTTAATTTAAACAAAATATAGTTTATATATCTTGTTTCTTAAAATGCGTTTATAATTCATCGACACTTTCATTTTCTATACTATATTGCTAATGTTATTTGATATTAAATTTAAATAACTTTTGTTCATGTTTTGATTGAGTTTTGAAAATAACATATTTGAATTGTGAGTTGAGTTGAATTGAATTGAATTGATGTTTTGAAAGTCTGAGCAATCGTGTCGACGAATATTTGAACAAACACATTCTCTGAACAAAATGATTAACAAATTTACATTCTTACCTCCATGTTTTGAACAGGAGAGCACCATAGGCAAGACAGAAACCAAGGTATCTAAACCAAAGTAGGCCTTGACACGAGACTATCCCTAATGGAACGGCAATAGATATGATAGTCTGTAAGAGAAAGAGGGAGAGGGAAAATGTTTGCTATATAGAGGGCGCAAGTAGCTACAAGTATTGCAGTCCCGCTTTAATGAAAACAATTCAAATAACAAAAAAAATATTGGTTAAACCCCCTTTAAAGTGTTGGTTAGCTCAACAAATTTGATGGCAAAATTTCACTTAAATTGTATCATAATATAAAAGAGGATGTCATTAAAGACACATTTCTGCAAGGATTTTCAGAACAAATGTGTTTGAAATCGTATATTGATGAAGGAATACAAAGTTTAGCTTCTGCGTACAACGAAAAACCCAATATTTGTCTCAACCCCCTTTTTTGTGGGGGGGGGGGGGGGGGGGGAGGGGGAATCTTTGCAGAAGTGTGTCTTAAATGACATCCTTTTTCACATTATAATACAATTTAAGTAAAATTTGGCAACCAATTTTTTGGCGAATTTGGGGCTCCCAACACTTTAAGAGGAGCATTAAAACCATTTTCTCTGGCATTATTCAATGACACGAAAGAAATGACATAAATCCAACGCGAATCATAATCTCTCCTTCAGGTATACAGGCATATCATTTGAAATGAAGATGGGGGAAATCCCCCGATATAAACACAAAAAAACTTCTTCATTTCATACATTCTAAATTTGTCCTTTCTTTTATATTTGCACTTAATTAAATGTACATTGTGATATGTTATCATATCCACATCATCGCTCGGTTCTACGATCCATTATCACTCAAGGTGTATATGATTATTATCCCTTGGGTGCTTATATTAAACATCGCATATCATTACTTGACTATCCAGTGGCGAATACACCATATGGTACGTACGAGGAGGCACGTGCCTGAATGGCAAAGAAGAAGAGGAAGAATGGGAGGTAATAATAACAATATTAATGATAAGAAAAAGAAGAAGTAAAAGGAGAAGAAGAAGAAGAAGAAGAAGAAGAATAAGAAGAAGGTGTAGGAGATGGAAAAAAGGAAAGGAACAACAACAGCAACAATAACAAGATAGATAATAAAAAAAGAAGAAAAAGAAGAAGTAGAAAAAACAAGTAAAAGAAGAAGATGTAGTAATAGTAGTAGTAGTAGTAGTAGTAGTAGAAGAAGAAGAAGGAGAGGAGGGGGAGGATAAAGAAGATCAAGAAGGGAGAGAGAGAGAGCGCAATAGAGAGAAAGAGAGAGAGAGAGAGAGAGAGAGAGAGAGAGAGGGAGAGAGAGAGAGAGAGAGAGATAAAGAAGAGAAACGTGTCAAGAAGATGATGTAAACCCCCTCCCACACCGTACCATCATTATGTAGTGGCCTTCAATCTATCGAGAATATCGGTGCTCCCATGATGTCAGCCCCCCCCCCCCCACCATATCAATGTCTGGACGTGTGTACCGTCACAGACTCTATCTATAATTTATATAGCGTAATTATTACCTCACAGTAGCATAACCCCGATCCGAGTAGAATTACGTACAGAAGACCAGGACTGGCTGCTTTAAAAACCTGTCAAATCAAAACCAAAATAAACACAACGATGATTTCTGTAAAAATAACGAGAAACAGAACAAAAACTAAACGTATGGAAAACGATACGAATTATGCTTTACAGTGAATATTTTATGTTTATTGTGCCAATTGATACCCAGTGCTGTAAGATTTCTACAAAGTTGCCACTTCCCGGAGAAATGTTTTATTTGAAATAATCGAATATCATAATACTTTCTTTTATATTTTTCCATATATTAAACCCGTTTCCCCTAAAATTTAACCTATCGATCGAAAGGGGCGTCATTGAATCCGAAAAATATGAATACTGTTGCTATTAAGCAATAACGGCCTCACATTATCCATCAGGTTCTCAGTTCTGATGTTTTATTGGCTTTTACATTCCAAAAAATATTGATTCACTTCATTTCAATATTGAAAAAAATGAATGTCATTTAAACTGGGCCAACATTTAAGATGAAATGGCAAATGGTAACCGTGACAACCATAGCATAACCGAATGGCTATTCATGTTATTTTTTTCGGTAATAAACGATTGGCATCCGACGTACATGTATCTCATTCCTGGTACCTGAACATAGTTCTCTTTTATGACCTTCGCATGTTTCTATGCATGCTTCACCCCATCTCATATATTGCTGTTTACTGCGAATTATATTATGTTCATCTCACGGGGGAGAATGATTTAAATCATGTTTAAATATATTAACTACATTAACTACAGTCACGGGCGTAGTGGGTTTTTTTTTAGCATTGGGAGGTAACTGAAATATGAGGTGTATGAAGTGCGAGAGAACAGGAGCTAATAGTAAAATGAAAGTGTGGAGGGGGTTGCACAAGCTACGTTTCTTATTATGTTTATACTCTCAATCCTTGTAGTGCCCTCACTTTATCTCTGGCTTCCCTCTTTACCTCATATGATCGTCAAGGCATTGACTACAATTATGGCTAGAAAAAAAAAATGCGTGAACCATTATTAAACACCATGGAAACAACTTTCGACAAATTAATCAAGGTCAATTCAAGGTCTTGTAACTCCTATATATACACCGTGTTCAGAAGACGTAGTACGTCAATGTAGATTTCGCATATTTCGTGATGAAAAACCTATTATGAATGGATTGGTTTGATTATTCGAATGCATTTGCGATCTCCGTGTTTTATGATCCATTTATCGCAATCACTCTTTAAAGGCATCGTTTAACAATGTCGAATCTGAGATGCACGGCCCTACGGGTTATCAGTGTCCGTGATATGGTGTAATACTGAAGCCCTAAAACAAACAAAAATCGCACTTCAAAATGCCTCAAAAAAGTAAAAAATCTTTGAGTGACCGGTTTTACCATACCCGTTTTCCCCAATAGACTGTAGTGTTATGAAAACCGTTTAGCAAACGGTTTTCAAAATTTGTTATTCCAATCATATATATCTTGATAATCAGACAGGCGATCGGCTTGTAAAAGTCATGGGGTTCCTGACTGACCTAAATGTTTATAATTATCATTGCAGTATGAGCTAAATCCAGGATTTTGTTTCAGAATCTGAGACAAAGTTACCGGAACCCTTTAAAAAAAATTCATATAGAAAATCGTTTTTCTTCTCTCGTTCATCTTACCCGAATCTCTCGATGGCGATACGTGTATATCCCCAACACGACGAGGAGAACGAGACAGAGTATGTTGACGGCGACGAAGCACCACCGCATGATGGCAATGGGTTCGACCACGCATGGACTGTCATCGTCACACTCGTCACATCCTGGCTGACAGGGCAGGCAATCAAAGGCACTACGTTGATGGATAATTTTGGAAAATTGCAATGATTTATACAAATTAAAAAAGAACAAAAAAGAACAAAGAACAACATCAACAACTACAACACTTGATATACTTTTTTTTAATGAAGACGAGTTGTAACAAAGCTAAGTAGAATAACTCGAGAGTCCGGCCGAACTCTTTCAATCGTAGAATAGGGTCAACATGGAAAAGGATAAAGCACAAAGATAAAGAAAAAGGAAATTGTAAAATTAAGAATAGAACTTTACAACTAACATTGACTTAATCGGGAAGATGTGGTTAACCACAAAAACGATACACTTTCTATTTTTGACCTTAATTTTTAAAGAAAAGAAAAGAAATGGGGCTAGGTTTGGAATTCTACACCCATCCTTCCCTCCTCCTTCGCAAGTAATAGGAACTGCGTACGTCAGTGGTTGTTATGGTGAATGTTTTCAATCGAATCAAAGAAGGTAAAATCGAATCAAATGAATTTAAATTGGGAGGTACCCGATTCAGGAATTTTACGTATAATATGTGCCTTTAATTTTTTTTTCCCGTCATGTTCACATTAATCTACGTGACATATTCACAATATATTATCTGGGTCACTAAAACAGGGGCATCATTCAAAAACCACTCTGGGAAGGCCGCCTCTCAAATTCAATATCAAAAGTTTTTGAAATACAACTCTTACATCATCGTGATTTGATTATCATGAACAAAACGAACTTACTAGAATCATGATGAATAGAAACAAAACTGAACACAAAAAAGACAAGTTTCATCAAACTTAATATGAAATGATTTATATCAGATTACACTTGACGAGAAGTATCGTTATAACAAATTATGTTGCTGCCCAGAACGGAGCGCATATGCTGTAATGTGAAGTACACTGAACATTCTTATTTCATTTTCTTCCCATGACATCTGGTTTCGGTTGCGTTTTATTCCCTGCGATGCGTACTTTTATAATAATTATACGAGAAGGTATGGAATTCAGAATTTCTGTTAGCAAATTTTGATTTTTAGAGCTCTGACGGCTCTGAATTATATTCATATGTTTAAATAATAATTAAATTAATTGAAATAAAAATCCTTGAAAGTTCTCTTTTTCACTATGACCGGTTTCAATTTTATTTTTTCAGATAGTGAATTTAAAATTATAATTTAAAAATGTATATATTTGTTCTAAATATATATATATCTGTGTGTGTGTGTAAACCCGTATGTTGAGGACTAGAGCAAGAAAGGCATTAACTGTATGTAAAGTACTCATTGTTAACGCCTTTTTGTCTCTCAGCAGGAATATCATGAAATTAAACAGAAGGTGAAAGAGAATTGGTTATGGGACTGGCGAGGAAATCAATCAACAACTGACGATCCACACGCAGAGGAGCAAAGGAAATTCCAAATAAAATCGTACATATTTGATACTCTGCTCAAAGGTTGACTCCATATGCGATATAAATAATTAAAATACAATTATACGGGCAAATCCGCGCCGATAGCGAATTTTTTTTTTTTTTATATCACCGGAATCAGTCTGCCTTTCAAATATGTTACACGTTTTCTTTTACACGCTATAGTGATGTTTCATTGAATTTCGGTCAAGGCGTGTATGACATTTACAGTATTGAAGTTGATTTTTTTTTTAAATTACCAATCACAATAAAAAGAACAAATCGTGCTGGTATAAAGAATTGTACTTGATCTCGAAGTACATTCATTAAAAATGCTGCATAATAAAATAAGAACGAGTGAGCTTAAAACCTGCGAAAACTCAAACGATCGTGAATTTTTTTGTTGTTGCTACATACGGTTCTATAGAAGGAAGCGGTTAATCTACTCGGAGGAGTTATTAAGTGTTTAGTTTAATCCCCCTCGTATGCAAATGATTTGATCTTCGTCCCAACTGTATACCAGCCATCTCACATCATCACCTACATCACCTCCCATCATATACATGTTTATTTCACGCTCGACTCGTTCTAATAACACCGGGTATGCCGATGGAAATGGGTTATGTCTTTAATGCATGATTTATTTTCCCCCTATATTTATTAGTTGGTCTCACCATTCGGGAATTATACATTGATAAACAGATTCCTGACTTAACGTCACTTTCACCAGATACACAACGCGTCAGTCCCTAGGTTGACCCATGGTGTTTATAAAGGCATAATGTAGTTCGGGGTCAGGATTTTGTGTGTGGTTTTGTATTAAAAAAGACTAACTGTATATATTGCATAGCATATACCTAGAATTTTGGTCGATATTATTATTATTATTATTTTATTTGGCAGTAAAGCAGAACACACATGTATATACATAAGTAGATGGCGATCAAAAATGCTTTGAAACTTTAACCTTATACAAATTAGGGAAAAATCTTTTTTTATACAAAAACCTCAGCTCAAAACAGAGACCAATTCCTCCATTAAGATATATCCATATCAAATTAATGACGGAAAACTGAAAAAGGATTTTGTGATTTGTAAGTAGATGAATGTAGCATCAAGGACTCATTTTACCTGTCGTATTCATTCTCCAATCCATAGGCCTTCTTATTGTACTCCTCCTCAATTGTTCTGCCTAAAAAAGCGGGAGACTGGATGTCGTCTGTATGAGAAACCGCGTCAGGAGGGAAATAATAGCCAGGTTTACACTCGCAAAGGTATGCCCCGCGCTGGAAACCCTGCCCGGATATATGAAGGCACTGCGTGTGGAAAGATGGAAAAGAGAATGAAATAAAATTCACGTGTGAACACGAGGAAATTCAATCTTGTATCCTGTGGTGCTCCGTAACCCAAGATAACAATCGGGACGTTATTTTGCAATTGACCACGATGTACAATCAAATCAACCCATCGTATGATCAATATTGCTAAACTTTATGATCCAAGGCCCTGAGGTGGAGCATTCATTGTTCGGATAAGTGAAGGCACTGTACGGTGTATGTGGAAAATGTGTCTAGGAGATTGAATTGATATCACGTGTGAACACCGCAATCTTTTGTCTTGTGTCCCGAGATGGAAATATACGCTAGCCGGAGACAGGAAGACACTGTGCGTGGAAACGGGGAATAGAGACTAAGATTAATTTCACGGATGAACACAACAATCTGTTATGATCATGGGGATCTCTATTTTTAGATGGCAACGCTGTGAAGGGGCACTTGAATGAAAGGGCG